CCTCGCAAAGTGCGGGTTCCAAGCGCACGTCCACCATGGAAACGGAATGCTACAGTGCGCGTAACTGCATGTTGGTGTGCGCGTGCGCGCGCGCGTTTGAGTATGCGCGTGCTTACGTGCGTGTATAGGCAGCGTGACCGACGCATGACACGCAGAGCTCTCTGCTGCGTCTCTGCCGCCCGCTTTCTGCCACCAGGTGGTTTTCTCCATGGTCACGTCATGTAACCGCCTCAACCGGCCTTGATCGGCCCAGCTGCCCCGATCTCGGGGCTTCTTGCAATTACACGCAACATTGAAAGCGTTTGAGCTCACATTGACCTTCTCCGTCACCAAACAAAACACACGGCGGCGTGTAGCATCTAATCATGGAGTGTGGTGTGCTTTGTTGGTTTCTTATGCCAGCACAGTCGGATTTGAAGCAGCATTGCGGCGATTTCCACCGTCTCCGGCAGCGGGATGCCGTGTTACCCAGCTGGATGTTGATTCCGATTTTTGTGGTCGATACGGGGTTATGTCGTTACCACGGCTGGATTGGGATCGAAGCAAAGTCTGGGATTATGTCTGGAAGGGTCGGAGGGTTGATTTTCGGGGGTATATTGCCAGGTGCAGCACAAAAGGATCATGCGGGCAAGGTATGTATCCATATCCAGTGCATCGGACTCCCTTCCCCAGACGCCCGAGGCGGAGTGGATGCCGATGAAAAATACACCCTAGGGCATAGGGGCTAGATGTTTATCCATATCCACTGCGCCTCGGCCTTTTGGCGCCCCTTCCCAGAACTTCAAGACGCAGTTATAGATCTTCCCCGCAAGATCTAAGGGGACTGCAGCTGGCGCAGGGCCGGGGCAAAGAAGCGGCCAGACGTTGACATGGGATTGGAAACACCGTTAAGACGCAGACCGTTCTGGTTGGGTTTCATCGACATTGCCGGAGAGTGCTAAGTCCATACGGAGTAAGTCTGTAGGGGGTGTTCAGTTTTTGTCTGAGGTTAGTCCGTCTGTACTTAGCCACTTCGCCTCTCCTGACAGGGTGCTAAGTCCGTGCGGATTAAGTTCGCACGGCGTGCTTGGCCTACGTTTGGGCTACCCCGTCTGAACGCAGCCCTTTTTGACACTGTCTCCCCGTGGCGGGGTCCACGAGCCGTCGCCGCAGGATGGCCCGACGGGGCCCCAGGAGCCCCCCCTCACCCCCCGAAACCACGGGTCGTGCCCCTGCTTGCACTGTGCAGGGCCTGGTGGCCACTGTGGGCGCGCGCCAGGTTTTCCCGGGCCCTCTTTGGCTCGCCCACGGCGCCCGGCGCTTCCCCAGGGGACTACTCTCCGACCCCAGGACTCCCCGGGGCAGACCCCAGTTCCTCAGGTTGGCTTTGCCTTCTGCTGTTTCGATGTGCCGTGCCTTGCCTAGCTTTGAGTTGCTTGGCCATGCTGTGCTCCGGATAGCACGTCGACCGCGCACGCAGGACAGGTGATAGTACGAAGAAGTGTTCGCAAAGCTTTCTGGGGCCGCCATCGATGTTGTCGAGGCGCAAGTGGTGTCAGACTCTCTGGATGATCTTCTTCGTTGCGTTTACCAGGCTTTGCTTCGATTGGTATAGGCAAGCGGGCGCCCCGAGCACAATTCGAAGGGATCAGGGAGCGTATCACATATATGGACCTGACAAGATTGTGATAGCAATAAGTCAACTGCTCCATGGTTTGAAGTAAGGTACTAGTGACGAGGCGAGCCCACACCAAACACCGTGATACGGCACGTGGCTCAGGAATAGTTCCCGCTCTGCTTCTCTACGCCAATGTCGCATATCCACTCGAAAAAACATTGTCATGTTTTGCTGACATGCTCATGTTTGGAAGACGTTACGGGTGCGGATTGCTTACCCAACGGGCAAGCCTAGGCAAGAGACATTCCTAACAATTGCATGTGTGACGACATGCATGCGTTTTTTCTTTGTCTTGTTTCGTAATGGTGCCTTGCACGTCTTCATGTTCCCGGTACTGCGCATGGCCCTCGTTCGTTAACCAGTGCTGGTTGCCTCCCTCTGGTCGGGCTAGACTGATGTACGGCCAGTCCACCTCATGCGCTTGCTTCTAGTAGATCGGCCGCTAAAACAGGACAGAGTAACAGTAAGCGTGTTCAGCTGAACCACGATTTGGTAAAGGCTTGAAGGACAGCAACGTGAATCAAAGCGACCCGAATTGAAAGAGTCCAAAGCAAACAAGTGCATGGCAACGCTAGATGCAATGCAATGCAAAGCACGGCACAGCAAAACAATGAGGGCAATTCAAAGCAAGGCAAGGCAGTGCTGAGATGTGTGGCAGCGTGCTTCCTTTATTGCCTTGATGCGATCTTGTTCACAGCTTCAGGTTGCTGTCAGTGTTGTATGATATGTTTCCTTTCCCTCCTCTGCTCCTTGTCTTCCTCCCTCTCTCTCTCTCTCTTTCTCTGCCTATACGTATATGTACAGAATATATCATCCCGAGTCTGGTGCCCCGAATTCCGGTCACGTTCGCAAGGCACGATGTTCCTCACCGTATCGAGTTGGTGTATCACTTCTTCCCGAGTGCGGGACATGAGGCTATCACTGAATCTTCGCAGTGCCTTCAGTGTGGCCTGGAGGTGCCCACTCCCTTCTCCCTCCCCCCCACCAGGCCGGCTTCGAAGAGCACGCGCGCAGCTTATCTTCAGCGTGCCTCTGACAGAACTGTTGGCCCTATAGCTGGACTCGCGCCAGAAGTTCATCGTTCGCCATCTTCTTGGAACTGCTACGCCCGAGATCCGACGCTGCGACCAAACATGCATCACCATAGAAAATCATGATGAGGAGGAGGAGGAGCAGGACCAGGAGGAGGAGGAGGCGGAGCAGGGTCCGACCTGGTCCCAGACCTCATCTTCCTGCGCCACTTTTTTTTCGAGCCGGGTCGACCTGTGTGAGGGCCCCATGCACAGGGCCTGACACCGGGCGAAAAAACGTCCGGCGTGACAAATTTGCAACGCCCTGGTCTCAGGCCAAGAGGTCCGATGTCGTGATTGTTTCACTACGAGGTCCCCGGAAGTCTCGACCCATTCCCTGGGACCGGCTTCTCATCCTGAGTCGTTTTTTTGACGGTCCTGGGGCCCGGCGAGGGCCCCTATAGAGGCCGAACACTGCGCAAAGCTTCCGTCTTGATTTTTCGAATGCGTTCGAGCTCTGGGGGGCCTGACGTTGCCCCGTGGTTCCGGGCCAGAGTTCGGCTCTCCAGCGGCCGTCCGGGGCGCTCCGGGCACCCCCTGAGAACGCTCTCGGCGAGGCGCAGCTGCTGGCGAACGCATCCCGAGGCTGGAACAAGCCGCCAGGAACCGACGAGGACACCGCCAAAGACTGTCCGTCGTGCGACGCCCGGATCTCAGTGCAATCTAGATCGCCCTGGGATCCGGGCGATCGCCGTCGTTTCCCATCCAGCATCTGGTCACAGTTTATGAGGTCACACAGGCGATTGCAACGGCACGGGCAACGTCATAGTCACAACCATGTAAAGCATGCCAAGACATCAAACACCCACACATATCACATAACCTTGTAACATAGAATAAGAACCACGCTTGAGATCTTAAAATAAGATCCTAAAGACCTCTGGGCTCTCTCACCTCCTTCTGGAGCCTCTGCCGCGTCGGTGCTGGCCCTGGGGGGCCTCCGGACAGCCCTGCACCAGGAATGCCTACAACATGATGGGTCTTTTTCCCACCACCACCACCATAAGTTGGAGGAAGGAAAGAAGTGGAGGACGAGGAGGAGGAGGAGGAGGAGGAGGACGAAAAGGAGGAGGAGGAGGAGGAGAAGGAGGAGGAGGAGGTGGAGGAGGAGGAGGACCCCCTCCCCCTCCAACTTACGGTGGTGGTGGTGGAAAACAGGCCGATCGCAACATGCTGGATTAAAAAGTGCGGACTGCAGAGGTCGCTTAAGATGCGCGACGAGGTTCCCGTTAGGCCCTGGGGCCCCGCTACAATGTTACAGAGACCAGCCCAGGGATTTTCCAGTCGCTTAGGAAGGCGACTGGAGAGTGTTTTCGGGGGAAGTATTTGATGGAATCGCGATCTCCGGTTGCTCCTTTTTCCTTGTGTGCATTCTAATCGCGTCCGGCAACACTCTCCGGTCGCATTCTTGGGCGACCAGAGAATTTCTCTGGCAACCGGAGAATCGCGATTTCGTTTAGGACGTCCTCGGCAAAAATTCTCTGGTCCCATTTCAAGCCACCCGAGAACAGCGATTTAGTGTGTGAATTTCCAATGAGCAACACATATGGTCCTTTTTTGAGCTTTCGGAATTGCGCCGGTCCGCACTCGTGATCCAGGGGGTTCTACGAGGAGGAGGAATCACTCCAGAGCGTTCTGGAGCGCTCTCAGAGAGTGCTGGAACGTTCTGGGACGGCCGCGGAGCCCGATGCATCCTCAAGGCCCGCCCGTTCTCAGAAAGGTGCTGCTTTACTGTACCTCACGACTTGCCGGACCACCCCCAGCCCAACCCGAAGGTCCAAGACACTCCCAAGTGTCGGTGTGGGTGCTGTACGGGTTCCACGGTGTTTTCTCGATGGTCCTCTACTGGAAATGGCCAGGCCCAAGGACGACTTCGGGTTGGGTGGGGGTGGCCCGGTGGTCCCAAACCTATCCTCGTCCTGGCCTCGTCGCACTGCAGGCCCACGGGAGGCCGCCCCCGCCCATGGGCGCTCCTCCGGGAGCGGCCATGTATGTCATGGCGCCAGCATCGCAGAGCGGATGTCGTTCGGGAAACGACAGGATGGGCCCGGAGTGTCCTGGAGAATCTCGATGCGGATATCGAGGTGAGCTTCGTGCGGGTTTTGTCTGGGGCAGGAGTGGAGACGAAACAGAATCCGCGCGAAGTCCACTTCGTGTTTCACTCGCCGTTGCGGGGTTTTTTGCATGGACAGAGATATCCACGCAAAAATCCGCGGCAGCACGTCGTGCAGGGCCAGTGCAGGGACACATCCGGGGCGCCGCACACCCCACAGCCGCTGGTGGCTCAAGCCGGGGGCGCGTGCGCCTGGGAGCGCGCCGCGCAGTCTCGAGAGCGTTTTTTGCACCCCGGGGCGGACAGCCCAGGCCCCCGCCAGGCCTATAGGGGTTGACACCTTAAGACCAGTGTATCGGCGGTGTGCCTCCAGCGAGGGAAGAAGATTCCGATCTCGGTGATGGTGGTCACATGCTGGCTTCCAGGGCAGCCGCAATACTACCACCAGCACCGAAAGCGAGGATCCTCGTCCCCCCTGTTGATGCAACCCCCTGTGTTGGTGTTGGTGCCAACTTCCAGGCCTCCATTGACCCCCTCGAGCCATGAGAAAGCGCGACGGATTGGTTTGTCGCCATTTTCGGCCTCTGGGGGCCCTGACATGGCCTCGGGGCCCTCAAAAAGGCGACCCGGGATGAGAAACCGGTCCCGGGGAATGGGTCGAGATCTTTGGTTGCCGTCGGCAATATCAAAAATCATGACGTCGGGGGTCCGGGAAGAGCGGGGTATGACTGTGGGGGGGTATCATGGCCAGGGCCATGATGTCTCCCCAGATTTCATGGCCCCTCTTCTTATCTCAATACGCCCCCGGTTCACTCTGGGCCGCGCCCATGCTTGGGACCATGATTTCCTCCCCCTTTGGACGCCCCGCTTTCAAGCGCCCCCGAGATAACGAGCGTCACCGGGGGGAGGGGGAGGGGTTGGGGGCATCACGCTTCGCGCCGGCGCTGTCTGGGAGTGTCCGGGAATAGCTGAAGAAAGCTCGGAGGTCAGCGCGAATCGTGACGTCACCCGGCAATGCCACGGGGGGCAGAGGGCCTTTTCCAGGTTTCCTCACCCGCCCTCCTCCTCCTCCTCCTCCTCCTCCTCCTCCTCCTCCTCCTCCTCCTCCTCCTCCTCCCCTCCTCTTCCTCCCTCCTCGTTCTCCGCCTCCTCCTCCTCCTCGTTCTCCTCCTCCTCCTCCCTCCTCCTCCTCCTCCTCCTCCTCCTCCTCTCCTCCTCCTTCTCCTCCTCCTCCTCCTCCTCCTCCTCCTCCTCCTCCTCCTCCTCCTCCCCCTCCTCCTCCTCGTCCTTCTCCAGTGTGCCGTGGAGCTTCCCGTAGGGCCAGGATCCTCGTGAGGGGTGTAGCGACATGGGTGAGGCGCCGCCATGCAACCCCTGTCACTGGCTGGAGCCTTCTGTGGAGCTCCCTACTGGGCCACGATCCTAGTGAGAGGTGTACTGAAATGGGAGCGACGCCGGCATGCAACCCTTGCCACTGGAGCTTTCTGTGCTCCCCATCGAGGAGGCCTCTACCAACCCCTCCCCCCCCCCGAGTAACGACCGATACCGGATTTTGTTGTTTCATCCCGTGGGGAGTGCTCTGGAGGCCACGGGAGCTTCGCTGAACATCCCTCGAGTGGGGATCGACTGCAAATTCGATTCACCCCATAACTGATCTCCCCGTCGAAATAGAATGCTCAGCAGATCCACGGATCATTCGACGCATGCTTAGCAGAATCGACGGAAAAATCAATTCTGGTGTCAATCAGCTCTGTAGCCGATCCCCCCACTCAGTCCTGGGGGCACCCTGGGCTGCCAGGGGCACTGCTGGCGGCGCCCGCGCCATGAGCCCCGTCCCCGCGCGGATGCGGGCCCCCGCCCGCGCGGCGGCCGCCGGGGTGGTCGCCGGTGCGGCGCTCCTCGCCAGGGCGCACCATCGAGAAAGAAAAGATGGCATACACCCAGCAGAAGCCTTACGAGAAAACAGCGATTCTCATGATTTCCAAGTTTCGTATAAGAAGGGCCAGAATCTAGACTGGGCCCTGGGCGCTTTCTCATAGGCTTGTTTTTTCCTGGTTCGCAGAACCTCCGTACTTCTGAACCTGGACTACTGCCTAAGAGAGCGCTTCGAGTGAAGCCCATTTACTTAGCTGCAACAAAACATGTCTTTGGTCTTACCAGGGGTGTACGGTGGATGCGCGTCGTGTCGATCCACGGCGACCTAGCCGCCAGCGTTTAACCTTTGGACGCCGCCGGCGACCCAGAATCGGTCGATGTCGAAAGATCTGAGATTTCGGGAACGGCCGATGCGGCCGCTCGTGCACGGTCGAACGATCCCCGCAGTGTCAGGGAACAGCGCAGGGACCGTCACGACACGATCTTGGTAGCAAAGCATGGGAGCCATGTATGTCTTCGTAGTTTTCTTCTCAGGGTGTAAGAAAGCGCCGATTTAGCGTCGAACTAGCTTCAATTGTAGCGTCGATTAGCGTCGGTCAGCGACGATTCGGAGGAGCTAGCACAATGGCATGGGGGGCGCCTATGAGTTGCCACCAGGACACACTGTCGGGAAATTTGGCTTGTCGTATCGCTCCGCCGGTTCTGACCCACCATGCTTCGGAGCGACACGCTGTCCACTTCCCAGTCCCAAGGCGTCAACGTCCTGAGCGCTTCCAAGCCTCCCTGCTCTCGGAGCGGAGCGACACGCGATCGAAGCCCGCTAAGCATAAGCACAGCTCAGGACCGTAAACATAAATGTCAGACGGTCCGCGCGTATTTCTGGGGTCGGCGCCGGGGCCCCCCTTAGCGCACTCCGCGCGCCAGAGGGAGGGTGGGGGGGCAGCGCCGATCCGAGACATCCGCCCAGACCTTCCAAAGTTTATATGTCGCCGCGCCGTTTGCTCCGATGCGTGGCGTTCCGTCTTTGGGAGGGCGCCGCGGCCACCGGGGCAAACTCCGCCTCGGGTGCAGGGCTTGCCGTGAGGCTCTGCCGCGGCGCCGGCGCCGTCTACCTGGGGCGCGGGGGGCGCAGGGTCTGCCGTGGGCCTGCCGTGGTGTCTGTGCCGTGGTCCACGCGGCCGCGTCGCGAGGACGCACGGCGCGGCGACAGATTCGTACATTTTTGGTCCGCTCCTCGACGCCAGGGGGCCTTCTGCGCCCCCGCCGCGGGCCAGAGCCAGGCGGCGGCGGCGCCGCGCGGCGCGGGCGCCGCCGCGGGCCGCGCCGCGGCGGCGGGGGCCCGCGGGCGGTGGGCCTCCGCGCGGGAGCCTCGCGAGCGGGGCCTGGCCGCGGGGGCGGTGTTCGCCGCGGCCGTGGCCGTGGCGGCCGCCGCGGCGCGGCCTCGCCGCGGGTCCAGGCCCCGAGCTCCGACGATGTGGTCTGGGCAGTCCTGGCGTGTTGTCCTCCTCCTGCCTCCTCCTCCCTCCTCCCTGCTCCCTCCTCCCTCCCCCCTCCCTTCTTCCTTCTCCCTCCTCCCTCGTCCCTCGTCCCTTCTTCCTCCTCCCTCCTCCTTCCTCCTCCCTCCTCCTCCTCCTCCTCCTCCTCCTCCTCCTCCTCCTCCTCCTCCTCCTCCTCCTCCTCGTCGGCGGCCTCTGGGGCCAGACGTGGGCCCGACTTGGGGCCCCGGGGCCCTCCAGAGTGGAGCCGGGGCGACGCGTGCTCGCCTCAAAGGAAGCCGATGCCGATGCCGGGGCTCGTCCTGGAGAGCCCTCGGCGCCCCGGCTGGGTTCTCCGGGACAGACACCGAGACCGGCACCGGGGCTCGTCCTGGGGAGTCCTCGTCGCCACGGCTGGGTTCTCTTCGAAAGATGCTGACACCGACACCGCTGCTCGTCCTGGAGAGCCCTGGTCGCCACGTCCGGATTCTCCTTGAGATTCTTGTCAGAACGCACCCGGGGAGAGGGCCGGGGAGCAGTGGTAAAGCTTGATGGACAAGATCCTGCACCTCCAGCGCGACCAGCGTGCTGGCGCGACCTTCGACGCGCCCCCCTGCCTCCGCTTCAATGTTGATGGGCATCGCCACCGGGGTGCAAGATTGTGGCCAGTCGGCAGATCGACATATCGCGTCGCAGACCGACAATGTAAATTAGGGGCGCGGGGTGTGCCCACGAAAATCAACACAAAAGATGCATGATTTCGTCCATCAGCCGTATCGGTCCCTCTTCGCTTCCTCACAGGCGATCCGGCGTGGCGCGCGCCTCCGGGGAGCCGCCCGAGCTGAAGTCGGACCGGGAGGTGGACTACTCAAAGCTGAAGGACCTCCTCTCCTCAAGCGATTTTCGGGGCGCCGACCAAGAGACACGCGATCTGCTCATTCAGCTGGGGGGCCCAGCGGCGGTGAAGCGCGGATGGGTGTACTTCATCGAGGTTCGGACAATGCCCGTGGCTGATCTGCAGACCATAGACAGCCTGTGGCAGCACTACAGTAAAGGCAAGTTCGGTTTCGCATCCCAGCGCAAGATCTGGCGCCAGTGCCGGGAGCAGTTCGACAAGTTCGCATTGGAAGTATCTTGGTTCACGGACAAGTGGAAGAATCGGAATTGGCCAGACGATTTCATCTACAGCGTCGACGCCCCATCGGGACATTTGCCGCTCACAAATTGTATCCGCGGGGCGCAGGTGTTGCAGGAATTGCTTGCGCACCCTGCGTTTGAGAAGAAGAAGATAATCTCTTCTACGCCAAGCGACAGTGGACCGAGGAAGTCTGGACTCTCGCTGCTGTAGAGCCCCAGGAAGGTTTGCGACTGCTCCTGAGACGGCAGGCGCACTGTCTACGCTGGGCTGAAGAAGAGCCTCCCACCAGCATTCTTGTTTGGGGCTTTAAGCGCAGAGGGTGCCATGGTGCACTGCCTCTGCCCAGCGATTTTTCTTTTATCCCAGAGCAGTGCTCCTTGCGCCCCGAATGACTTGGAGGCCGCCTGCCCAGCGGTGCTGTTACGAGCAGCTCGTGCGCTAAGAGAGAGAGCATGTCCTAAAAAGGCATTCCGGCATTCCAGTAGGGCCACCAGAGGCACCAATAGAGACTCCAGGGCGGCCCGGTTGCCCCAAGGAGGTCCCCAAGAGGGCCCACTGGGAATCTCAAGATGATATGGGTTGTCCCCAGAAGACGGCACGACTCCAACACGGCCGAAGAGATTCCAAGCAAGCCCCAGCAGGGACCCCATGGCCTAGCAAGACAGCCCGTGGGGCCTACCGAGATCTGCAAAATCCCCAAGACATCGAGACATAGCCCCAGACCTCCCTGCACTCGTCCTCCTCAGTTTCATAACGCATGCGTGCGAATGCACGTGCGCGCGCGATTGAGCGCACGCGTATGTATTGACACGCGCACACACACACACAAACGCACATGTGCGCTTGTCCCGCCAGAAGAAAGAACGCATCGAGCCCGCACGCTTTGGGAAAATACACATCACATCAAGACCAAGTGCGAATTCTTACGTCGACAGAGGGAGCAGCCATAAAACGCGTGGTGTGGCAAGCACCAGTCTCGAAACCGCCAGCGGAATATCATCAGGCGAAGCTCAACCGCAACCATGCAAGAACAGGTGTGACCATCACGGCAAGACGCAGAATGAGATGAAGGCGGTGTGTGGATTTGATTTGTCAGACAAGGAAGTCATGGCTCTTTGATGGAAGTTTAGCTGACCAACGCAAGTACGCATCCATACATATATCTATACAACTTCGCGTGCCAGGAGCTTCTCTTCTGTACCATGTGTGCCGCACTCCACCGACGCATCAATACCGCAGTCGCGCGACCTATGATTCCAGGTCATGTGTTGATGTAAACTTCTGCAAGAAATACTTACCATCACAGTGGTAATGTTCTATCTTGCAGATGCAGCAGATTGAACGCCCGCCGTACGTGCAGCAGCAGTGGATCAAAGCAATGAGGCTGAAGAACGCACCACGTCACAGCGTGGCCTGCAAGCTAGCCAAACTCAAAGAGGCAAATACTGAGGTCGCGTGGACAAAAAACACACGCGTGCGCATCCACACGTTTCGGCGTCGCGGCCCCGCGCGCGGCGACGGGGTGTAGAAAGTCGAGTGCAGGCACTGGAGCGCGCGCGCCATACACACGCACACACACACACACACGCACACACACACACACACACACACACACGCACACACACACACACACACACACGCGCGCGCACACGCACACGCACACGCATGCACGTCTGATATGACACGCGATGTGCATTTGCACGTGCATGCACAGTCACAAGCGTACGCAGACTCACGTGCACACATGCCTACACGTGCACATGTGTGTACATCCCAAAGCTATGTTCCACGCTATTCCCAAGTCAGGTTCACACATACAGAAGCGGTTCGATCAAAAGTAGCCGCGGGGACGTGCACATTCCAGAGATTCCGTGAGCTCGTTGTGAGGACCGCCGTTGGGTGCATCATGGTGGCATTTGCTCCGCGGCGTCGGGCGATGGGCGTGAACCCAACTCCACAGCGCGCGCAGCCACGCGGCGTTAGGGCCGCGGGAATCTCGCTCGTGCTTTAGTTCACGATGCTGGGCGCAACGCGCAAGAGGCCGATGCCGCACGCCCGGAGACGGTCTGTGCAGCCCGCACAGCCCGCAGCCGCGCGGCAAACGGGAGGCGTCGGCATCTTCGAGGCTTCAGGGCGGCCCCCCTTCTGTCGCTTGCCCGAGGCTACAGCGTCATAGACGAGCAGTCCGTCGCCTTGTTGAGGACCCTCGCCTCCATTATCCATCTTCTTCCCGTCCCCTGCCCGGCTCCACCCTCTTTCAGCGGCCCTCCTTGTCGCTGTCTTGTCTGGCATCCTCACACTTGCCCGTCTTGCTTGTCATGCTTCTTTTGTCATCCTTCCTGTCATCTTCCTTCACCCCATCCCGATTCCATCTTCACCATTCCTTCCCGAATGATCCGTTTTCCCTTCTTCCCAACTCGCCCCTCTTCCTCCTCCAACCTCCTCCTCACCTTCCTCATGCTCTTCCCATTTAGCCTATCCCCTGATCATCTTTCAACATCTCTAGTCCTCCCTCTTCCCCCGACTTCCTCCGTCCTCCCTCCTCCTGGTTCTCGCGTCTTTCCTTCCGGCCTCCTCCAACCCTCATCATTGCTCCATGATCCTCCCTCTATTTCTAATTGAAAGGATGGGGTTGGGATGCATGTTCTTCATATGGTCGTCACTCTCACATATGTTGGCGCTGATTACACAATCGTACACTGCCATTGTCCGTGGTTGTCTCCAAACCCCTGGAACTGGAATTGCTTGCTGATTGGATTGGCACTTCCGCTTGAACCTAATTTGGCTGTTCGCTCTTCTGTCGCCGAAAACCACGTTTCCGCTCATCGCAATCACATTTCCCTAATCGTCAGCAGGTCCTCCCGAAGAACCCTCCCTGCGCATCACGGGCTAGGCTAGCATAGTCTGACATCACCGATGGGGTCCGATCGGCAGTGATGCTGTACCGCCTGTGCTGACGATTCCTTCAGAAGCCGTGGCGCAACCCATGAGGAACGAAAGCGAAACACTTCGGGAATGATTCCGTACCACGAACGGGACGCAAACGGAATGAGCTATGACTCGCGAATCAGCAGCGGAACGCAATACACAGCTTGCCGCAGCACCGAAACTTCCCAACATTCCGATGGGCGCGAGGAAGAGATCCCCTGTGAGTTCCGCATTGGCAGCGGATCGCAGCACGGAGCCCGATGCAGAGTGCACGATGTACCGGGCACGTGTCCGAAACGTCCGACACTGATCATGCCCGCGGGTCACTCCCCAGTGCTCGTGGCGTCGCCTGCACACCCGAGGTGGTCCAAGGTGGCTCCGAAACAGCCCAGAGCACATACAGGATGGATCTTGGACGGCCCCTGGAAGGCCCCGACTGGGCTCCAAGAGGGCCGAAAGCGGGGCACGCAGTAGGCTGCAGTGTGCAGTGTGCTTCTGGGGAAGTTCCCAGGGGTCCAAGGTTCCCCCAAGAGACCTGCGAACGAGACAGGCCGCAGGGTGCAATCTGCTTCTCAGGACGCTTGCGCTGTGTTGGGTTGGCGGCCCAGGCGCTGCGGCGTCAACGCGTTTCTTTTTGGCTGGACGCAGGTTGCCCAAGGTATCGTTCATTGCATCGGAATGCTATTGCTCATGCCCTCTGTCCTCCCAACCTTTCCCCCCCCACGCGAGACTCGTCTTCCTCATCCTCTGTCCTCGCTCCTCCTACCTTTCTCTGCCTCCTCCTCATCATCCCTCCCTTCCCCTGCCTCACTCCTCCGACTTCTCTCTGCCCTTGCTGCCTTCCTCGCTCCTCCCTCCCTCTCCTCCCCCCACACGCCTCTCCTCCTTCTCGGGCAACCTCGACTGGAGCTCCCACGCGTCCGACCCACACCTCAGAACCGCCCAGTGGGTTGCGTGGGGGTGGATGCGCGAGGCAGCTCCCGCGCATGCAGCAGAGGCGCTCCTCTCGGCAAGTGTGAGCACGTGGGAGGCTACAGAACCGTGTCAAGGCCACGGAGCACCTGCAAGGGCTGCAACCGCTGCGAGTACAACGACGTTCTTGCGGAAGCGCGACCCTCGAAGCGGGTCATGTGACCGGAAGGTGCAGCCTCACCAGCCGAAGAGGCGCGTTCAGGGCAGCGGCAGCGGCAGCAAGGGCGGCGACCAGCAGCAGTTGAAGCTCGCCCCACCGCCGTCCTGGGCCACCCCGAAGAAGGTGCTCACCTCGGGGGCGGCAAAGAGGTGGGTGATGACCCAGGCAGAAAGAGGGGGTGGATATCATGGCGGGGGCCATGATATCTCCCCAGATCTCATGGCACCTCTTATTTTTGTGCGTTCCCTGGCCCACCGCTGGGCCGCGCACATGCCGCTGGCCATGAGTTGCGCCCCCCCTCTTGGACGCCAGACGATCTCAAGGGCGACCTCGTCTGAGATGGAGAGATTCGTTGGATGCGTGAGCGGCCTTCCATGCATGCGTTTCACTTGGTGCATGTTCCTACTTGCCAGAAGTACGTCTGCCCCTCAGGGGACCGCTCCGCCTACTGGAGCCGCCACGCAGACTTCCTGTCCTGTCCCTCTTGGGCGCCGCCCACTTGGCCGCCCCCGATGTGGCCATCGTGCGGAATCCCCCGTGTTCTGCGCCACCCTGGCCGCCGCCTTCCAGCAGCACCCAGCGCCCCGGGCCCTGCGGCCTCCGCCCCGCCGGGGGGCGGCGAGGCGGGCGGAGAGCGCGCGGCGCGACGCGAACACCAAACGTGTTTTTTTGTTTGCCACGTGTGCGGAGCTACATTGTGAATGCCGCGCTTTCTTGTGGCGTTGCTGCGTTCCTGCTCGCGACGCACACCGCGAGAGGCGGCGGAGAGCTTGAGTGATCCACCTACCTACAGTGCCCCACCGTCTCACCAGTTGGGGACATGCCCCTCGAAGCCCCGAAGAGAGCAGCCTGCATCCCCATGAGGGGGGCAAGCCGGCCAGTGGGGCCCAGCCTACGCTGGTGGGGATGGGGATCGGTGGCACGAGGCTCAAGCGTCGCCCGCCTGCGAGGAGCAGCTCCGGCGGGCGTAGCACCAGGAGTAAAACGACGCGAAGATCGGGACAATATCGGAGCGGGAGAACTCGAAATCTCTGAGAGTCGGCGGGTTTGGAGGATGTATTGGGCGCCGCGGCCGCTCTCAGAGCGTTCCGGAACGCTCTGAGAGCGCTCCGGAACGCTCTGGAGCGATTTATCCCGATCCTAGCCCTGT